TAAATTATCTTTAAACTATCTTTAAAGGAGCACACGAGAGAGCTTCCAGCTGGGGTGCCAGTAAAAAAAAAAATCTATTCATAGGAATATTTTTAAATTATTTAAAGGTCACTCAGAAGTGAGTTTTGGTTTAGAATGGTACCAAAGAAAAGAGACTGTATTATAAAAGAAACCAAGAAGTCTCATTTTTAAAAAAGATTGGTTGGTTCATGGGTTTTGTTTTAAAAGTAAAATAAAAGCAACAAGAGATCTAAAAACGAAGAGTGCCTGTTAATTAAATTTAATTGAACATTTTAGTTAAAAATTTAACTAAAGTCAGACATGAAAGTTGGAATTGCAAGAGTTTTGGCTTTAAAACTTTATTTTACCAATTGGGAGCCATGTTCCTTCAGCAAACAGGGGACAGACTAGAAACTCTGCAGGATAGAGGGAGGGGGGAGCTAAAATTCATGGCTTACTCTTGAGGGAATTAATTGATGCAACAGCAATGCATTTGCATATCCTGTAAACACGGAGTGTTCTCTGTTAAATTTATGGCTGCAAATATCCAAATTAAATTAAATTTAATCCATTATACTTTATAAGGGACATTAAAAAAACCCTCAGCAACCTAGCTAATAATAAAAATGGGGATTGTTGCCAATGAAATGTTAGAAGTGATAATATCTCTCTGGAAAAATGTGTCTCATTTCCAGGAGAGCTATGAAGCATTTAGGAAAAAGGTTCCTTGTTTTTGCTTTTGTTCTCCTTCAAATGGCAAATCTCCCACTTCAAGGGCACACAGTTTGTTGGCTTCCAATTTGGGCAAGCAAAAATATAAATATAAAATGTAGGCAGGTAAGGTAAACTGAACCTTATATAGTATATAGTGGCAGGTGTCAGTATTTTTGTGTATCTTCTGGTTAATGACCACAATAGTTATTTGGGGTGTGTGTGTGTGTGTGTGTGTGTGTGTGTGTGTGTGAAGAGCTGGCTGGGTGACTTTGGCCCAATCAGCAGAAGACACTGAGTTCTAGTCCTGCCTTAGGCATTAAAGCCAGCTGGGTGATTTTGGGCCAATCACCAGGAGACATTGAGTTCTAGTCCCGCCTTAGGCATGAAGGCTGACAGGGTGACTTTGGGCCAATCACCAGGAAATGGTGAGTTCTAGTCCCGCCTTAGGCAGGAACGGGGTGACCTTGGACCAATCCCTCCCACTCAGTCTAACCCACCTCACAGGGTTGTTGTGGGGAAAATTAAGAGAAAGAAAAAGTATTGATTATATACACAACCTTGAGTTATTTGTAAAAAATAATAAAAGCAGGATACAAATAAATAATAAACAAACAAATAAAAATAAACTTGTCCAAAGAGGAATTTTTGAATACATTTCAAGATCACTTTTCTCAATTCCGGAGAGCCAAGAACAATGAATCCAGATGTTTCTAATGCCACCACTGGAAATCTCACTGATCATTTCAGATTATTGCCTTTTAGCAAGTGTGAAGCAAACCAGTTGAGTTATTTGCATTTTTTTTTGCAAGCGTGCCGGATTTATCAATTTATTTTATAGTCCAAGGTTATGAAAAAAAAATCCTAAAATTTGTGTTTTGGAGGACACTGCTTTGAATGTGTTTTTCATTTAACTGCTTGTTTTTGTACACAATTTTCTTGAAAGCATTTTTCTATAGCATTTCCACACATAAATGGATTGTTGTCTGAATGTCTATAATATGGATCTGTCATGCCCCTGTCGGAGTCTGGATCTGAGGAGGAAGACGAACAGCTGAGAGGGAGCGGGAGTGTGGCTCCATTGGCTGTGGAGGAAACTGAGGAAGGGCAAAGTCCGGCTAAGCAGAGCAGGGAAAAGGTAGAACAAGGAAGAGAGAGTTCAAAGAAAGACCCAGGTCCACCCGCCCTTCATCATAGGGCACGCAGGGAGGAATGGAAAAGAGAGCAACGCAGGTTGCATGGCTTATGGGGGAGGAAAGGGCCCTGATTCCCTTCATTAGCCACAGCTGGAAATGAGAGTTTAAAAGAGATGCATGCTGAGTGCGGCACATCCTGGGAACAAATGTGAGTTTATCTTGTATTGATTTTGCTTATCTGTGTTCCTGGCATCTTTCCAACTGGGTGGAGTTATTGCCTTGCCTTCACATCTGGAATTCCTTCTTCTGCCCTGCTGGACTTATTACCTCATTTTGACTTAATTGGACTTATAGTTACAGTTTTTCTTCACCATGTTTTGGACCTGATTCTCTGCAGCCAAAGGCTGTTCCTGGGAGAGTTTTTCTCCAGCCCAGAAGGTAACCAGGACATTGGGGGCAAAGTTGGAGCTAATAAAGGGACTCTTATTGATATCTGACTATGTTGTTTTTCTGCCATGCCCTGGGTCATCACAGGATTTATTTTCTTTTATTTATTTATTTGTCAAAAGCTTACAATATAACAGAAACAAGAATAAACATAAGTTTAAATACAAGAACAATTGTGAGCTTATGCACGCCCCTTACAGACCTCTTAGGAATGGGGTGAGACCAATAGAGGTTAGTTTGAACGTAAAGGAGTGGGGGTTTGAACAGTTGACAACAGAATCAGGTAATAAGTTCCAGACATTGACTACTCTGTTGCTGAAATCGTACTTCCTGCAATCGAGTTTGGAGCAGTTTACATTTAGTTTATATCTGTTGTACGCTCTTGTGTTGTTGTGGTTAAAGCTGAAACATTCATTAACTGGTAAGAGGTTGTAATATATGATTTTATGTACTATGCTTAAGTCCAATCTTAGTCGGGGTAGTTCAAGGATGTCTAAGCCTAGAATCTCAAGTCTGGTGGTGTAGGGTATTCTGTTGTGAACAGAGGAATGTAGAACTCTTCTGGTAAAATATTTCTGGACTCGCTCAATTGTATTGATGTCTGATATACAGTGTGGATTCCAGACAGCAGAGCTGAATTCAAGTATTGGTCTAGCAAAGGTTTTGAATGCCCTAGTTTGTAAATCAGTATTACTAGAGGAGAAGCTTCGTAAAATTAAATTTACAACTCTTAAAGTTTAAATTAAATTAAAGGATCCTTGACTTACAACCACAATTGAGCCCAAATCTTTGTTGCTAAGTAAAAAATTTGTGTTAGGAAAGGTAGTCACCTAACAGTTGGGTTGGAAATATATAAACCAGGATAGTAATTTAATACTGTATCTTTAAGAGAATGCTGTAAGTGTGATTGGCTGAGGTTCCTCCAACGGCAATAAGATGGAGCCAGAAACCTGGTTTGTTCTCTCCTTGCATTTCCTATTTTGCCGTATTGCCTGATCGTTGTTCTACTTGGATTGCTGTGAGTTTTGCAACTGTTAGCAAACTCCATTTACTGAACTCTGTTTATGATACTTGACTTCGTTTTTGGGTTATCCCTAGACTGATACTAACTGCTTTAACTGTGTATGATTTGGACTGTTTTGTTGGACTTTGTTTACCTGTTTACAGGAAGTAAAACCTACATTTTACTATTCAGTGTATCTGTATGCTGGTTGTGTGTTATTCCTCACCACTCTCACTATGTTTTCCCTGAGTGGACTCATTCTCCTAACGGGGAATACCTCAACAATTTGTTAAGTCAATTTTGCCCCATTTTACAACTTTTTTTGGCAGTGTTGTTGTGAATTACGTAAATTGTTAGATTAATAACATGGTTAGTAAGTGAATCTGGCTTCCTCATTGACTTTGCTTGTCAGAAGGTCGCAAAAGCTGATCACATAACCCTGGAACATTACGACCGTCATAAATATGAGCCACTTGCCAAGCAGCTGAATTTTGATCATGTGACCATGAGGATGCTGCAATGCTTGTATGTGTGAAAAATTGTCACAAATCACTGTTTTCAGTGCAGTTGTAACTTTGAATGGTGACTAAATGAACTGTTGTGTTGTAAGTCAAGGACTGCCTGTATATAGTTTTTAAATTACTATTGAATAGCTGCACTGCAAAATCAGAGAGCTTCGTATTTACTTTTTTAAAAAAAATAACTAATTTCCATTGATATATCGGTTCAAGAATACAAATTTAGGGATGATCTGCATCAAATACCTAATATTCTTCTCCTGTTACCTGCTTCCTTAAAAAAAAAAAACTTTAGGAAAGAAATCAGAAATATTTTTATCTTTTGTAAATTGAGGATTGGAGAAAAATGTTCCTTTTCATTTCCAATCTGTGTTTTATGACTGTCCACTGATTTTTGCTTGTTATCTTTTATCTCTCAGTGGTGCTATTTTCTATTTGATGCAATTTTTTATTTATACTTCTATCTCTCTAAGATTTGTGAGCTGCCCTGAGAATTTGTTCGCTGGGGATGACAGATAAATCTTTCGAGAAATCTCGGATTGTATTACATTGCCTTACTATACTTACGTTTCTCCATAAATGATTTAGTGTCTTGTGATCAATTAAAAATTAATGCTTTTATCAGGACATAAATTTATTGATGTTTGTGGACAAGAGTTGCAAGTTTAACTGTCAAAGGACTGTTTTCTAAAGCCTTAGGTCCGTGATGGTGAACTTATGGCATGCGTGCCACAGGTGGCATGCAGAGTCATTTATGCCAGCATGCAAGCCGCAGGCAAACTTAACTCACTGCACATGCGCGCACCTCACAGCTGATTTTCAGCTGGTTTGAGGCCTTTTTCAGCCTCCAAGAGGCTTGGAAAAAAAACCTCCGCAGGCTTTGCAAGCCGAATAATAGGCCCGTTTTGTCACTTCCTGTATTTCCGGAAGTGATGAAACGGACCTATTATTCATCCTGCAAAGCCTGCAGAAGCTTTTTTTAACCCTTTCTATTCACAGGGGGCATGGGGGGGTGCGCATTGCCTTCTGGGTGCTGGTACACGAGCGTGCGAGAGCGAGCACACTCACAGTTTTTGGCACAGGAGCTCAAAAAGGTTAGCCACCACTGACCTAAGACATTAGCAGATATTATTTTGGGGGTAAGAATGCAAAAACGGGTTACCCTTATCTGACTTCAAGGCCTACCTGTCTCCCATATACCCTGCAGTACACAGGCAGACCCCTGTCACGTGATCGCATTGTCCTCCATTGTGGCAGGGGCATTCTTGGCTGCAGTTAACCCCATATGTTCCTGATGGGCAAGGCTGCGCGCACACAGAACCCTAAGAGGGAGAAAGAGAAAGAGAGAGAGAGACAAAGGTATTATCAGATTAATACTGGAGGTTTTTAAAGAAGAGACAGGACAACCATTTGTCTGGAATGGTATAGGGTCTCCAATCTGAGCAAGGGGTTGGAATAGAAGACCTCCAATGTCCCTTTGTTATCCTGTAACTTCTGTAACCTGTTTGGGACAATCAAAAACCAAATGTCATGTTGTTTTCAATATCCTCAAATAATTGTCCTGTTCCAAAAGGAATTAAAAAGGTGGAATTTGGACCAAGTTTGACAAACTTTGAATACAAAGTGTAGAACATTTGTTAAAGTTGTTATTAAGATGCAATTCAGAATAAAAACAAAGATTCCTGATTAAGTGGATGGAGAATAGAACAATATGTGTGTATGTATGTGTGTGTATCAACAATCTCATAAAGCTCAACAATTCTGAAACATGATGTATTAAATATATGAAAGATATTGTCTTTCCTTTCCTACCTCCTATTTCTCTGCTAAGTATCATTAACAACATAATCTTCAGAATATGTTGTTAATGATACTTACATATAGACAAAGTTACTCAACAACATCAGAAATTTGGATTTCTGCAAACATAAAGCTTTAAAACATCTTGTCTGTTTTGTTGTAACAAGAATGGATCTTCTTACTTTTGATAGAAATTTTTTATTAACTGTCTATTCTGATTAATGGTTCTTACAATATGAGTTACTTTTGCCAAATATTGACCCTGAATGGATCTCAAGAACCATTAAGTTTATTTTATAGGTAGTACTGATCTAACATTGCTTCAGAAATTCTTGTTACGTTTCACACCGCTTGTAAACCTCTATTTCTTTCTCTTTTTTTCTTAGTTGGGTTTTAAAATATGAGATTCTACTTATCAGCTGAGAGCAGTGATAGAATGAGTGATAGAACTGTTATAAAAAGATACATCATGTGAATGTTAAATTTCATGGGGCTTTAAGCAGTCCTGCCTGAAAAGTACCTAAAACCTCATGGAAGACTGTCAATTTTGGTTTGAGAATGGGTAATTTGCAATATTTCAGACACAAAATCCCAGTCAAATAATCTTGCAAGATTTCAGATACGTATACAGATGGTCTTCCCTTACCCTCAAAGAGAGAAGCAACCTAGAACTAAGGAGAAATTTCCAGATGATGAGAACAATTAACCAGTGGAACAGAAGTTGCCTCCAGAAGTTGTGGGTTCATCACTGGAGGTTTTTAAGAAAAGACTGGGCAGCCGCTTGTCTGGAATGGTATAGGATCTCCTGCTTTAGCAGGGGGTTTGACTAGAAGACCTCCAGGGTCCCTTCCAACTCTGTTATTCTGTTAAACTGCTTGCTCAGTGACCACTGGAAGTTACAATGGCATTGAAAAAAAGAGATTTGCAACTGGTTCTCAAACTTGTGGCTGTGACAGCTTCCTCGCAGTCACATGCTGGTGATTTGGACACTTGATAATTGTTGCATATTTATTTTTTTGTTACTTTTTAATACTTTATTCAATTTTTTCCTGAGTTCCAAATTTACTCAAAATATACAAAGAAAAATGAAAATAGTGGGAAAGTAGTGGAGGAAAAAGGGAAGAGGGGGAAAGGATAAAAAGAAGGAAAAGCATTGATTTCCGACTCTTTTCAGTGCAGTGGAATAAGATAATAACCTACAGCCACAAATTTTGCTTAATAATATATTCCAGCCACTCCTATAAGAACAAACCTATCTAGTCAACAACACTCAAAATCAAACTTTCATTTTTTTTCACTCCAAGCACAAAGTCCAGACGCGGTTTCCAAGTAAAAATAATGTTAGTTGCATTCTTTTCTTTAATTAAACGTAAAGGTAAAGGTTCCCTTCCCACATACATGCTAGTTGTTTCTAGTTCTAGGGGGTGATGCCCATCTCCGTCTCAAAGCTGAAGAGCCAGCGCTGTCCGAAGATGTCTCCATGGTCATGTGGCTGGCATGACTAAATGCCAAAGACGCACTGAACGCTGTTCCCCTCCCACCAAAGTGATCCCTATTTTTCTACTTGCATTTTTTAACGTGTTTTTGAACTGCTAGGTTGGCAGAAGCTGGGACAAGTAACGGGAGCTCACTCAGTTACGCGGCGCTAGGGATTCGAACCGACGAACTGCTGACCTTTCTAATCGACAAGCTCAGCATCTTCGCCACTGAGTCACCATGTCCCTTTTTCTTTAGTTAAAGCAGTCGATTTTGCCATCTCTGCTAATTCCATCAGTTTTTCCAGCCAGTCATCGCATGGTGGGAAGGAAAGGATCTTTCCATTTTGGGGCATAGAGCATCCCTGCTGCCAGAGTTGTGCATTTATGACACTCATAGCAACAAGAAAAGTCACTGGGGAAGCCAGTAGGAAGTCTCAAATCACGGTCATGTCACATTGCAATTCATGACCTTGATTGCAACAAAACTAACATCCTGTGTCGATGCTGTTGTATGATATTTTACTTTAGGACTGCATTGCTTAGCAACAAAGTTGCCTGCTGGTAAGTGAGGACTAACTCTATGGACAATTATTTGTTCCTGTGTTAAGCAAATCATGCTGGTATTCCTTCCAAATCTGTATCCCCAGGATGAGAGATTTTGCATCTAAACAGGTATTTTTCAAATCCTTCTGGTTATATCTTCAAATGTTCCAGGTGCTTAATCCCTGAATATTAAACAACAACAGTCTTCTCAGAGAAAGTAGTAGCTCAGGAGAAGTCCCTCATGACCACTTCAGAGAAAGCTCATATTACTGAATGATTTTGACTTAGTTCTCACTCTCGCTGTTGCCAGAAATATAAAACCTATAAAAGCCTATAAAATTATTTGTTAGCTTTGCTGTAATAGATGGAATGGCAATCAGCCATGTCACCTCATCTCTCCATCCTGTCTCTTCCCTTAGTCAGATGCGCTGGAAATATTTTAGAAAAGAAGAAAAATGTTGACTAATCTCCAGGCCGATAAAACTGAAAAAATTAGGGTCATTTGATATGTTTAATCAGGACAGTTAAAAGACCTAATAGCTGATTCGTGCAGCATATATTAACCTAGTTTAGTTTTTCTATGATTTAGTGCAGGGTCTCCAACCTTGGTAACTTTAAGCTTGTGGACTTCAACTCCTAGAATTCTCCAGCTAGTTATGCTGGCTGGGGAATTCTGCGAGTTGAAATCCATAGGTTTTAAAGTTGCCAACATTGGATACTCCTGATTTAGTGTAGAATGTAAACCCAGATCTTCTAATTTATGCATCAATGTATGGCATGAATCCAGAACATGGATTGGCTTCATTCAATACTCAACCGTCAATGCAACCCTACAAGTCGAGAAAATGGATTACTTAAATAATCAAGTTAAGTTTGCTGTCTGAACTTGATCAATGACTAGATCTTCTTATTCTTCAAGATTTTTCAAGAATGTCAGTTGTCAGGAAGAGGATGTGGCTTTTCTTGTTAAAATACCGTAAGAAGCATACCAAAATCTTTCCTCGGTTCTAAGATGCTGAGCCTGAAGCTGTGCAAAAGAGAGATACCATTGCTCATCTTACAAACATCTGGATTCTGCAATGGTGGCCTGCGGTACAGAAGCTCATTTTGGATTCATTAGCTCATGTCCAGAAAAGCAAGCCCTTTATTTAACCTGATAATAAATACACTTCCTCATTTTGTTTCAAATAAGACAAGAGTCCTATTTTTGTAAGCCGCCCAGACTCACTGAGAAGAGTGGGTGGCCATAAAAATTTTCTTAAATAAATATTGAGAAAGCCTCATTCTGAAGTTCATCCCTCAGGAGCAGTCTTTAGGCACAGATACAGACTGACCAAGTTGGAAGGGACCTTAGAGGTCTTCCAGTCCAACCCACTGCTATACCATTTTGGTCTCTTCTTGAAAAATTCCAGTGGCCTTCCGGTTTGAGTTCCTTCGGTGACAGACAGATATCCGTGATCGTGCGTGGTTTCGGTCTGGGCTCGCTGCTGGAGCGCCCTGAGCCGGCTGGTTTTGGGGCTAAGCCACCCCGTAGAGGTGGTGAAGAGGGGGGAGACTGCCAGCAGGGTTGAGGAGAGCCACATCTCTCCTCCTCAGCTGGCCATTACTCCCTTTCCTGAAGGCGGTTGCAGCGGTGGTCAGAAATGGCCACCTCAAATAAGAACTCGACCAGAAAAGAATGTGCAGGAGGAAGATAAGAAGTGAAAGTTTTGGCTGACTGGGTTAAATTGTAAAAGCAACAACTAAGGTACCTTGGAATTTAAATTTACAAAAAAATAACATCGCTCCCAAAGAAGAGTCGGAAGCAGCGAAGGAAAGTGAAAAGGGAAAGGTTTGTTTTTTTTTTCTTCTCTCCCTTTCCCTATACTGACAACTATGTGACTTAAATAAGAAATCAGAAAAATCCGCTTTGACATCAATAGGCAATTAAGCTGAAAATAAAACAAAATGTCAAAGGGATAATAAAGATTTCTGGACACTAAAATTTTTTTTCATAAGCAGGAAGGGAGAGAAAAAGAATAAGGGCAGGATCTGGAAAGAGGGAGGAGACTGCCTGGAATTAAAAAGAATCTACAGTAAAACTTCAACAAGACTTCTAAACGATACATTTTAACTGAAACTTTGTAACTAAATAGTAACCCCAGGAAGAGAAAGTGAAAATAAAAGAGGAAAAAGAAACAGCTTGCGTGTATTTGGATTACTTGGTGATCTTTGGATTCTTGGTTATTGCATTTGAATGACTAAAATTAATTGGTGGTTGTTTAAAAATTTATACAATGGCACCACTTCTGGATGAATTGAAAATGGAACTTAAAAAGTATAAAGAAGATACACACGAAGGGAGGGGTTCTTTTGGCTTCGCTTTTCAATTCTTAGAAATGGAGATTTGGAACTATGAGAAACAACAAGAAACATCTGCAAAACAAGAAGACTGGGACAAAGAAGAAGCCATCTCTAATGAACAAGCAATTCTATGTGGGGGAAAAAAAGGAAAGGGGGGA